CTTTCTCGAACTGGTCCAAACAGGCTATGCTTCCACTGCTCAACCAAAACCTCTTGTCAAGATCATCAGGAGCTCCATCACAGCGCTAAATTCAAGAGTCCGTTTTGAGGCCACGTTTTCTTTGTGTAAATGAGAAAGCACACGTACAACTGTAAAGTGCCTCTTCATAAATGTGAGAGGTTACCATGATTACTTGGAAACCAGTAAACATTCAAAATTGATGAATGCCCGTTGCTGCAAAGATACCTCTATTCTTCCCACCCTCTGCCCATCCCCAACTTGCCTGTGAAGTTTTTGAAGCCTAAGTGGGGTTGCCTTCCATCCATGTGTTCCTGCTCTGGCATTCAATATCCAATATGTATATCGGATATTGAATGTGTGTGTGTGTGTGTGTGCGCGTGCGCGCGCGCGTGCACATGCATGTATTGTTATGGGGCTCCATGTTATTCCAAAGGGAACGTTTGACAAAGCGAAGGTCATTCCCAACCACCCTTCTTTTCTTGAATTCCTCGGGTTTCACCATCCCCCAGTCTAGAAAGACATCTGCTCCATGTCTGAGCCCTCAGAGCTCCCTCTGTTTTAGGGGCCTCATGGGAGAGCCGTCTGTGGTGGAGCCCTCCCTGCCCCCTCTCCCAGGGATCACCTCTTTGTGAATTCAAATCACCATAAATCAAGTGAGCTCACAGCAATAACCACAGCCATGCTAGCAGGTGTTATTAAAAGGAATTTAATAATCTTAATTAAAAACTCTCAACAGGGAATTCTGTCACAGGCCTCGGCAGCTGGAAGCAACTCCAGGAGCATGCCCCTTTTGGGTGTGGTCGAGCCTCGGTCTTGGATCGAGGCCCACCACTGCCACATGGCAAGGAGCTACCTGGAAGTTACTTCAATACAATATCAAAGATCTGCAAGGATTTTTTTTTAAAAAAGTTTTAAATATATTAGACTCTCTTGATTGCTATTTTTACACAAAGCTGCTGATACAGTATACAGAGTTTTAACTTTTTTTTCACATAAAATACATTTTTCTTAAATGTTCTCTGTACGTCAGTGGCTTCTGGTCTGGGGAATTATTGCGGAGGGCTGGGGTTCTGCAGACTTTTCCTCAGTGTGCAGAGCCAGGCCCCGCACTGTCGCACTTGCAATGCCCATGGGAAGCAGGCCCTCTGGTGAACTGGCCAACAAGAGTCTCCTGTCAAGGAGAGGTCTACAGCTTCCGGCAAAGGGGGTCACTTCTGCAGAGTCAACCACTGACCACATGACCCCTTTGCTCTTACGTGCACTGGGGTGGGGGAGGCCGTCCCCAGGCCACAATAGCAAGAGTTAAACACAGTCCTTCTGGGTTATCTCGTAAAAAACTGCCCTTCTGGAAATTGCCCCAGTATCCTGCTCTGGGAAAGCAAGTGGGAAAGAGAGCTCAAGATCAAAAGGTATCTGACACCAATCACCAAAATGGCCTCATGTTATGACGAAGCCAGCAAACTGTGGTGGGGTAGGACAGGGGACACCTCCCGTGAGCTTTCCTACACCCACTGAAATTGATCAAACAGTGCAGAGCAGTTTAATCGCTGCTGTGTATTTGATGGAGAATTATATCCTGAACCCTTCAGTAGAGCTGGGGCTAGGGTTTATTCAACTTCCCTGCGCTCTTGCCAGGAACTCACTATCTGATGATGGCCACCAATTTTCGGTGGTTTGGGGGCACAGGGTGGGAGCAAAGGCCAGAGTTCAAAAAAAAAAAAAATGCTAGAGCTCACCGTGAGCCACGTGGCACATGCTTTGGAAGTAGCCTCCTTTAACCGGCCTGGTCTCAGAGGGAGCTGAGCATCTGGTACACCTTGCTAGGTTTCTTCCAGCTCCTTGATCCCCACCCATTGGGAGGAGAGGCAGACGCTTGAGGAAAGGCTTCAGTGTTAAAGAAGTTCCTCGTCTCCCATTATCCATTGGTGGGGCAGGAGGACCCCATAACAAATGAGCAAAAATGAGGAAGAGACAAGGAGTTTCAGAACCTGAGATGCATTTGACAGCAAATTCCAGACTCTTGGTTCTTCTACCTACTGACCTCAAACTGCTATTATACAACGCCCCAAAGATGCTGGCCTGAAGGCAGCTATCCCTGAAAGTTCCGGACAGACTTGGAATGCTGTCTCCCTAGAACCAAGATCCAACATCTGCATTTAATAGCAAATGTTATTCAGGGACGGCCATGGCAGCAGTTTCTCTAGGGATTCTAGGAGCTAGAAACCGGGTTGAAGCTGGACCAGGATGTGGTCACTCCGTCTCAAGTGAATTGAATGGGGCTGCTGATACCCGTGGTCCTCAAGGGATGAAAACTGCACAAGGCAGTCTCCTCACCCTGTCTTGTTCCTCCTTTACCCCGAGAACCTAACGTAGTGCCTGGTAGGTCTCAGCTACTCAATAAACTACGTGAGCAAATAAATGAGTCACCCTGACCCCACCTTGTCCCTCAACACCAAGGAGACCCTTGGGGAAAGTTCCCCAGGTCCCTGAAGCCCTAATAGGGAATGACTTACCCCAACTGAAAACAAGAGCTAAATGCCTATGAGTCTGCAGTTGGCTCCTGCCGGGGAATCAGCTGGGATTCCCAGCCTTCTGGGTGGGAGATGAATGGCCCAGGAGGCAACAAGTGAGGGCAAAGGAGGGACTGGCCAGGAGGGCTCAGCTTGGGCAAGAAGTGCCTTCAGTCTCCAGCTCCTGAGCAAACAGATCGGGAAACCCTGCACAGCCCCCTCCTAGGAGTGTATGGCTTCTTCTGCTTGCAGCTACGTTGGCTCAAGAGGAATTCAGGGTCAGTCTAATCTGAACACTGTTTTAAAGCCAAAGGTATGTGTGTTCTGGATCATCCTCTGCCCTGCTCCAGCCCTAGGCTGACATGATGGAGAGCCTGCCCCAGACAGATGCCAGGGACTCGGGAGGCATCATGCCTACCCATCTGCAGCCTCCTGAGCTGCCCCTCCACCCTAGACTGGATCTGTCCTGGAGTTGGGGTGGGGCTGGCCTGGTGCTGGGACCCTCCGTGCGCCCAGGAGCCACCAGGTGCACAGTAACTCCACAGAGCCCTCTGTTCTCTGGTCCAGCTGCCCTGCTCCTGGTAAAGCATCAGCCAGGCCCTGGGATCCAGCTCCCTCTCTGGGCTGTGGGGCCATGGAGGCCACAGTGGGGACTGGGACTGATAAACAGCAGACCCCATTACTAGAGCTGTGGCACAGGGGGGCTCCTCTAGCCCCAGCCCCCCCTCCCTCTGGCCCAGGTGCCCCTCGGGGAGAATTTCTCATAGGCTCAGAAAGAAGAAGATTAGAAGGAACCCAGAGTTGTCCCCCAAATCCCAGAATCTGGACTAGGGGACCCCTTCAGAGTTCTAAGGAGGTAGTTTTAGGACAAATAAAAGGCGCTCAGAGCAGGGAACAAACCTGCTGCTTATTAAGTACACCAATAGGTTTTGGCTGAGCCTGTGGACAGTACCCAACTCATGGGCAGCAATTTCAAGGGGGCTCTTGAGAAGATGCAGTAGAGAGGCGGTGGGCAGCCGGCCCTTCTCAGTCTCCCCTCCCCAGCATCAGGGAGATCGGGGCTACGAGACTGTTGGGCCGTGGGGAAGCCCAATTCCAGCCCCACCACTGCTCTCCTGAACGCAATGCAGGGCGTTGGTCATGGGCACATTGGATTTGCAGCCGTGGAGTGTCACCACTCCCACAAGGGCAGGCTGGGAGCCCCTGGGCCCGGCAGGACCTCACAAGGGCCACCTGGCAGACTTGTCTCACCAAGCATTCCAAAAAGGGCAAAGCTGGGCCTGGGGTCCTAGGCATTTACTCTGGGACGGGTGGGGGACTCCCAGCAGTCCCTTACTACTCACTCTGATGGCTCAGGCTGAGGAAGTCTGGCTGACACCGGCTGGACTGAAGCTACCTGAATATTCACAAAGATTCCCCAGGGCACTGGGCTATGTCACAGCTACTAAAGATGCTTACAGAAATTAACACCAACTCACTCCTCGCCCTGGAAAGCCCTTCCAAAGCAAGCTCCTCCCTTAGCTCCATGTTTCGAACACCAGTCAGTAAAACCTAGTGATCATGATGTTATCCAGGAAAGAAAGCAAGAAAGCAAATTTAGTTATCTCTCACCTGGCGTTCTGCCGCCTAAGAGAATTCTTTTATCAAGTGCACTTTTGGACACACTAACTTTGTTCCCCCTTCCCTCCAATTTTTGCTACTTCCATCCAGAAGTAAAATGTGATTTGGATTATTCCGGGAATGGAAGAGCCTGGCTCTCCACCTCAGCCTCCGGGAGGTCACACAGCTGGCTCCCGGCATGGGCAAGGCTCTGGGGAGCAGGCCACTGCCCATCTCATGGACCCATGTGGCTTCATAGCTCCCTCTGATCAAAGAGCGGACCTCCTGCTCCTTCCAGATGTGGATGATGACAAAAGGCCCGGTATGACTCCGGGTAGGGCTGTGAGTCTCAGCTTAGCAGGCCCCCTTCGCTGCTAAAGCCACTTTGGCAGTGGTGACAAAACAGAGTCTTAGCCTCAATCCTTTTGGGAAGAGCCCACAAATCATCAATCCCACCTGCTTCCCACGAGCCCGGCCGTGTCATTCCCACACATGGTTGAGTGTGTGTGTGTGTGTGTGTGTGTGTGCACGTGCACACCAGTATGTGATATGCGGGTACTGGTCCAGAGAAGCCTTTACCGACAACCAAACTGGAATCCCAGCCCCCCCTCCCAAAATCTGGCAGCGGGGTGAGTCAGGAAGCCACAATGGGCCTTGTTTCTGATGGCAGACAATGCAGCAGGAAGCAGAACCGTGGGAAGTGGCGATGCTATGGGCTGCTGGGTGAGAGGTGGGGTCAGCGTTCCCCTGGAAAGCAGAGCCCACCTCCCCGCAAGCTGCCCTCTCATGTCTCCCCAGCCAGGGCTGCTGGGTGGGTCTGGATCCCAGAGACCCTTCCCCGAAGCATCTCTCTCCTCCGTGACACAGAGACTAGGAGATGCGGCAGCAGCCATGGACCTTCTCCTCCATCTCCTCCATGGGCGCCTTGAATTTCAAGAGCGGGGGATCTCCGCTGGTGACCGTGTAATAGACCGAGGTGTCATTGCTGCTGTACGGTGAAGTTCTGCCTCCGATCAAGGGGGCCTTGCCTTCGCTGCCGCCCTCGCCCGTCCTGGCCATGCTGCTGCCCAGGTGGGTGCTCAGGAAGGGGTGGCTGAGCAGCTTGGTTGCAGCCCGCTGCCGCTTCAGCTCCAGAAGCGTCTGGGGACTCTGTTCCTTGTAGCCACTCCAGGGAGGGGTGGCGTCGGCCACGCCGGGGCTGCCGTAGGCCATGTTGTAGTCGGGCACCTCGTGCACTTTCCAGACGTCCCCGTTGGACAGCGCGTACTGGTAGGTGCTGACCGGAGCCCGGAGGCCATTCTCAACAGGCCCATCCATTTCACTTCGCGGGATCTTGGTAGAGAACTCAGAAAGCAGCACGGGCTTCTCCAGCCGGGGGTTCTAAAGGGGAGAAGGACAACATTGCCAGCCGGTTAGAGGATCGGAACGCACTCCCCACTTGCATCTCTGCGGAGGGCATTCTTGTCTGGACCTGTTTGCCCAACTGGGCTGATGGGACCTGCATTCCGCTTTAGGGGCCTCGCCAATCTATGTGTTTTGGGAGAGCTGACTGATCCCCATCCTTGCCGCAGGGGCTGGACCATGACCCCCAGGCCTGGCCCATCAACATACTCTCTGCAGGAATTGATTCTTGACTGAAATTGATGCCATGACACTCAACGCTGGGACTTGTGCCAGAACAACTGAGAAAGAGAAGTTCTGTGTGTGCAGAACTCAAGGGTGGTGAGGACGATGGAAGCTGGGGGGCTGGGGAGACTGCACATCAAAGGGCCTGCTTGACAGCAAAGCTGATATGAAGGGAGGCTGAGGGGTGCACTTGGAGCCCCAAGATTCAGCTGGTCCCAGACTCTGCAGTTGCACGAGCTGAAAAATTCCTGTTTCATGTCAGCCGGTTTTAGCTCAGTTTTTGGTCACCTATAATCTTTCCTATGTACTCCCAGCAAAGACCTACTCTGAACGGCAGAGATTCTAACCCAGAAATCCCTGGATAACAAGAGCTTTAAAAGGAGCCGCTGCCTAAAAACTAGAAACTAAAAGGTAGCTACATTTCATGCTCACAAAAATATAAACCATAGTAAAACCCACCATAAATGAAGTCAAAAGACACATTAAAAAAATTGCAACATATATGACAGAAAGGGACTAATTTCCCAAATAAACAATTCTTAAAAGCCCATTCTAAAAAGCCCAACTATCCAACAGAAAAAAACCAACAAAGGAGATAATGTGCAGCTCACAGCAATGATGATGATGATAATAAAAAAATAATAATATCAATATTATTATTATTAAACATATGCTATTATGTTTATAGCATATAAACACAGGAGAAAATATTCAATCTCACTCATAATTAATGACAAAAATTAAAGCAACAAAATTATCTTTACCTATCACACTGACAAATATTTAAAATATGTGTTATGACTTGGTGTCGGCAAGAGTGTGGGGAAACAGGCAGGTACGTAAAGTGCCACAATCTCTTTGGAGGACAATATCACATCATCTCCCACACCCCCCCCCCAAAATTCGTTTTTAAGAAAGAATGCATACTTTGCACCAGCAAGCCCATTTCTAGGACTTCATTTCACAGATATATGTTCCTTTAGAGGAGAAAAGCCTGAAAGTCACCGTTAGGCAGGTGGGAAATTATGACAAGTACTTGTTCTAGAATGTTCCACATCTGGTAAAAAGAACGAAAGCAATCTTCCTGTGCTGATTCGTGATTCCAAGAATCTCCATTTCTTGGAAAGATTTCCAAGAAATATATAATTAGGTTAAATACAGTAAGGTGAGGGGCACTTCCCATAGTAAGTTCCATTTATGTGTGTCTATTCTTTTTGTTTTTAATGGCACCTCTGAGCTATGCAGGCAGACTGATGCCACATTTGGAGCATTTTTTTTTTTTCAGCTTGAATTTTTGTATCTATTTTCTTTACTTCCTGAATGGTCCTGGAAAAGACCATTCTTCATTGTGTAAATCAGCGCTTCTCTAACTCCATGCATATGAGTCACCTGGGGCTCTTGTGTAAATGCGCATGCTGAATCACCAGGTCTGGGCTGGGTTGAATTTCAGCATTTCTAACAAACTCCTGATGAGCTTTGATGAGCACGGATCTAAGACACTAGTTCTCAGCTTTGGATGCATATTGGAATCACCTGGGGAGTTAAAAACACATGTACAGTGCCCATCTGAAAAGGCTACACCATGTGATTCCCACTCTATGACATTCTGGAAAAGGCAAAACCATGGAGACAGTAAAAAGTTCAGTGGTTGCCAGGGGGCTGGGGAGGGATGGACAGGTGAGGCACCAGGGATTTTTAGGGCAGTGAAAGTATTCTGTATGAAACTTTAATGATGGATATATGACATCACACATTTGTCAACATCCATAGAATGTCGAACACCGAGGGTAAACCCTAAGGTAAACTATGAATTTTAGTTAATAATCATGTATCAATATTGGTTCATCAATGATAATATACCTACTACACCAATGCAAGATGTTAATACCACTGGAAACCCCCACATGATGAAGGGGGTGTGTGGAAACTGCATGTACTTCCTATGTATGTTTTCTATAAACTACAACTGCTCCAAAAAATCAAGTCTATTAATATTTTTTTAAAATACATCAATATAAAGCCTGAGCCCCAGGCCCAAAGATTCAGATTTAATTAGTCTGGGTCGCAACCTAGACACCAGAATTTTAAAACAACAAAAACAAAAACACCTCCCCAGGTGATGTGCAGCAAGCCCGCCAGGGTGGCTCGGATGAAAAGGGACGGGCAAGAAGAGCTCAGTGGGGCTGCTGGGAGAGCAGAGAGGTACAGTCGCTCTGGAAAATTGCTTGGCAGTATCTCTAGTAGCCTCCCCATGACTCGTTCTGCATTCTGGCTATACAATCCTACAGCAAATAGGGCTTATGCACACCACAAACCATGTATAAGAATGTTTTGAGCAGCTTTATTCAAAGTAGCCCCAAAGGTAAACAGTGGCTACCTTTAGGGTGGGGGGACCACTGAAAGAGAACCTGGGAGTAGCCCCAAACTTGAAACAACCCAAATGTCCACCAACAGGAAAATGGACACGTACACTGTGGTATATTTAAACAACAGAACTCTCCAGACCAAGGAAAAAGATTGAACTACTGCTATATGCCTGCACAGAGATGAATCTCAGGGTGATGAAGGAAGTCAGCAGAAAAGACTACAGAATGCCTGGGTCCATTCATATGCAGATGTAGACACTTACCGGGTCCTTATTCTCTTGGTCTGTCCTGGTCTCCCTGATGTCCCCATTGTAGGTGGCGGTCCGTTGATCCTCAGCCGCGCTCCGCTGCTGCCACAGTATGGCCTCTCCCTCGTACTCTTTCCTGTACAGGTTGGTCCTGTCCGACAGGCTGGCTCGACGCACCACCTTCCTGAGGGGAGAGAGGAGCTGCTGGTGGGCTGCGCCCAAGCCCCGCAGGCAGGGGCGCCCGGGGAGACCGCGGCCGGACTGCCCTGACTCACCCACGGCTCCCCGCGCTGGACGTTCTCCGGCTCAAGGATGACTTGTGTCTCAGCTGTGACTTCATGATGACGTCATGCTTGTGTTTGAGTTCCAACAGCAGGACTTTGAACTCCTCCTCCTCACACAGGTCTGAAGGGGAGAGGAAGCTGTTGTGGGGAGCAGTGCAGGGGCCCGTGGCCCCCAAGGGCCCTCCAGACCACAGAAGCTGCCACCCCAATGCACTGAAAACTCCCAGCATCTTTGGGGGGCATCCTGGGAGGGAGGTAAACAACACCGGCCTCACTTCCTGGGCTACACCCCAATCCTTAGAGGATAAAAACAGGAAACGCAGGGCCCATACAGTCACAGCTCCTAAGGTTCTCCACTATGACCAAAAGATCCATCCACCCTCAGTGGTTTCCAACAGGAGTCATCAACTCTCCAGTGATGTTAAGAAGTATCAAGAGAAACAAGCAGGTACTTTATGTAGCCCAAGCCAAAACTTATAGATATCTCGAATCATATATACGTACCCGTGCAATCCAACCAATCCCTTCATTCATCTATCCACCTACTCACTGACCATCCACCCATAGATTCATTCCCTACGCACCCATCCACTGCATCCATCCATCCATCCATCCATCCATCCCCCATCCATCAGCCATTCACTCACCCATACGTTTATCTATCCATCCATCCGGCTGTTCATCTGTACACTAATCTACCCTTCATTAATTTATTCATTCATTCTTCTACCCATCCACACACCAATCCACCATCTAGCCAACTCTGTATTTACCCAATTATCCCAATATCCATCAAAAAATTGATGAGTAACTAAGTGTGTACTGGGTTGTATACGGGGCTTACCTATTGGCATCTCATCCATGGATGTCCTAGCACTGAGACTGGCCCCATGGGACACCAATAGCTCTGCCATCTGCATCTGAAACACAGGAAGAAGCCCACGTTCCCCCTGGGCTCAAAAAGCCTAGGAGGTAGAGAGAGTGCCCCCACGTTTCTCAGGATCCGATGTAAGAGTGATGGGGCAAAACTGGTTTGCAGGGAAGGCTCTGCACCCTGGAGCCAGGAATCCTGGCAACACAATGGGCTTGACACCTCCTCCGACATGCCTGGGCCATGCCAAGGGATAGCAGAAGAAGGAGTCCGCTGTAAATCTAGAGCTGCCAGGTATCTTTTTTTTTTTTTTAACGATTTTATTCATTTGCAAGAGAGACAGAGAACAAGCAGGGGGAGGGGGAGAGGCAGATGGAGAGGGAGAAGCAGGCTCTCCGCTGAGCAGGGAGCCGGACGTGGGGCTCGATCCCAGGACCCCAGGATCATGATCCAAACCAAAGGCAGCCACTCAACCAACTGAGCCACCCAGGCGCCCCGAGCTGCCAGGTATCTAAGGAGGGACTGTAAAAGCTGCAATCAGAGTTTTATATCTGGGAAACAGAGGGAGAAACGATGCAAATCAGAAATATGAGGAATTTTCTAATTTGGTGAATTTGATTATCATCTTCTTAGGACACAACTTATCAAATGTTTTTGTAAATTCTCTAGGTCTTTTCCTATCCCACAAACTAGCTGTAGTCCACACCTTAAGTGGGTCTTGTGAACCAACGGCCAGCCCAAAGGACAGCGGGCGGGTCCTTCATGCCCTCGCTCACAGCCGCACAGCTGAGAGTTACCTGTCCCCAGAAGGCAGCTGCGTGCAGGGGCTCCCAGCCATCCCAGTCCTTCACGTCCACACGCACCCCGTGGTCCAGGAGGAGCTCGGCTGCCCGCAGGTATCCATTGGCTCCAGCTACGTGCAGCTGAAGGAGAGGGGGAAAGTGAGCTTCCCCCGTGGGTGCCAGTCCCACCTTCGGAGACGGGACAGCCCTCTTCCCAACCCAAATCCCAGCTCATTTCCGGGGATGGTAGAATGGAATAGAATGAAGCAGAAATCCAGCCACATTGCAAAGTATTATTAAGGCCACTCTTCATCCTGTGGTTGGTCTGAGAGCCCCTGTGGTTAAGGCAACAGCACTTACTGAGTCCCTACCATGTGCTGAGCTCTGAGGAGGGGGTTTCAGAGGCCCAGCGTGTTCTACAAATTGTCTCCAGTGTCTACGAATTCTCTGACATACCTCCCTTAAGAGAGGAAGTTTAATTCCTCTTGCCTTGAATGTGGGCCAGAACAAGTGACTCACTGCTAACAAGTAGGACATTGTGAAGTGGTGGTGTGTGATTTCTGAGATGAGGTCATAAAAGGCATCACTGCTTCTACCTCATGCTCTCTGGGATCAATCACTCTCAGATAAAGCAGCCATCATGTAGTATAGAGAGGCCGTAAGGAGGTGAAACACTGAGGCCGGCCCTAACTTGCCAGCCATGTGAGTGCGCCATCTTGGAAATGGATCTTCCAGCCCCAGTCAAGTCTTCAGATGATGGCAGCCTCCTAGTAGACCCCCACCAGAGCTACCGAGCTAAGCTGTTCCCGATTCCCTAACCACAGAAACCATGTGAGATAATAAATATCGATCGTTGTTTCAAGAGGCTAAGTTTTTGGGCTCCTTCATTACACAATAGGCAATCAGTACATCCAATAAAGGAAAGCCTCGTGCTGAGGCCACAGCTCTTCTATCTGACACCATTCAAGGCCTCTGGTAATGGACACCACCCTGGGGACCTCGCTTGTCCCATCTGCTTGATCTCCAGAAAGTACATAAAGCACTTAGCACGTGAGAGACACTCAGTAAGTGATGAACATTCTCAGAGAGCCGTGAGTGATGACGAGGCACACCGTGGGAACGGACGAAGGAGTAAGGAGATGAGGCAAAAAGAAACCAACTGCCCAGCCGAGGTGGGAGGCAGAGGTGAGAGCTCAAGTAGGCCGGCAGAAGGCTGGCTGGGAGGAGACCAGAGAGCTCCAGGGGGCTGAGGTCTGGGACAACAGAGCCGCAGGCAGCGGGACAGAGAAGGCACGGCCCTAGGAAGCAGCCCTTCAGAACACGGCCCTGATGGTCCGACGTTGCCTCATCCTGGGGTACGGCTGCTATAAGGTTCTGGCAAACAGAGGTATTCCTTTATTTTTCAATTTGCATAAGAAGCCTGGTTGTGATCTGGTACACGCACACAAGAAAATTAGAATAATCATCTGATTTATAAATGTGTGCTGTTTGCCAGTTGGGGAGATGACAGCCGACAGGGCCAGCCAGACATTACAAACTGTGCGGCCTCATACTTGGCGGGGAATAAAAAGGCATAACCGCAATCGTGATAGTGTTAGTAATAATAACGACAACGTGAACCTCTACTATCTACTGAGAGTTTAGAGACTCTGTGCTTAGCACCTACATGCAGAATCCCATTTATTCCTCCCAACCACCTGGTGTGGAAGGGACTGTTAGTAAACCCCACTTTCCTGGGAAGACCTGAGACCTAGTATGGGCCTGGCCAGCCTCAGTCCAAGAGGAGGAAACCCGTGTGTCTAGAGGGCCCAGCCACAGACCCAAAGAAGCTCCAGCCAGGATGGGCCCGGCCCTGGGACAGCCTGGTTCCGCCTTCGTACCGCAGTGTTCAGTCTCACTGAATCTTTGAGTGCTGGGCTGAGCAGGGACCCAGTTAATTGGAAAGGGCATGAGGCAGAGGGTAGGGCTCAGGAATCAGGTGGGAGGAGCCCAGTTATTACACCTGAGTCACCAGGTCAGGCCTAAGGGGCAGTGAGGGGTCTTGGCACTGCTGAGCCCTACCTGGTAAGCTCAAGATTTTGAGACTCCTGGGTGCTCATGGCCAGCACGGACCCCAAGCTGAGGCCAAGGCCCAGCCATTGGCGGAGGGGGTACATGGGCTTCCGAGGCCATGCTCTTGTTTTCAGTTTAGAGCCTCAGAAGCAGACCCTCCCCAATCCTGGGCTCCATCGTGCTAGGAGAGCCTACGAAGAGAGGTCAAAGTTTCCAATCCCTTACACTTGAGCTGAAAGGATGAGTGGAGCCAATCAGGCAGACCTGAGAGAGAAGAGGGTGCCCTTGTTCTCTGTCTCCATGGTCTAGTGAAGTATGTGGCACACGGGTGTGTGTTGCTTGGATGGATGAATGAACCGATGGATGGATGGATGACTGGGGCTGTCTGGACTCGGAAGTCAAAGAACCCAGGGGAAAGGCTGTTGTGGCGAGGTTCGGGGAGGCTGCTAAGGCTGGGCAGAGGGGTGGGAGAGGAGATCTTAAGGCAGGGTAATGGACAGTGCAAAGCAAGGTGGCACGTGAGAGTGGATGGCTGGTGGCTCCAGTCTTTATGTGGGAGACACCACTGGAGGACGACAACATAATGAGCTCAGATGAACACCTGGAACTTGAGGTGAAGGAGGAACTGCGAGACAGAGCTGGTGGCCATCAGGGTTCCTGACCCCCAGCCCCAGCTGAGACTGGCCAGATTCTCAAAGGGGCTGAGCCCTGCTCTGCTAACTGTCCATATTCCGGGGGCAACCCCAGCCCCAAAGCAGGTCTGGAGGAGGTTCAAGGCCACGGACGGGCCCCAACTGTGTCAGCTTAACTTCGACCAGGTGCTGGCCCACTTCAGCCCAAGTTGGTCTGGTACTGAGCCCCCAGCCCCAACCCGCCTGGCCCGTCTGCTCACCAGTGTGGCGCCCTGGGCATCTATCCAGTCAAGGTCCTGGCCCGCTGCAATCATACAGTGGATGTCTGCAATCATCCGCTGCTCAGGAGCTGCCCGCATCTCGTTGATTTTCTCTTGGGTGATGCCTGTGTAGGAAAGTGAGGACTGAGTCAGCACCCCGGGCCTAGGCCCCACTCGGGGAGGGGTGGCGGGGCAGATGGGCGAGGCACAGCTCCTACTCCCCAGGGTCTGCCGGGCAAGGGACTAGACAGCCACACCCAGAGGTCACTGTCTCCCAGGCCCAGTGAACACACAGCCACAAACCGGCCCACTGAACAAGGGCCATTCCTGCCTGGTGCCCAGTAGGCACTACAAGAGTATTGGTTACTATTACATATTCTGTTCCTCTACACCAGAAATCCCTACCATCCACCTGTCAGCCTCCAACCACTCAAATGGCTGGCTCTGCGTCATGCTGTAGACCCAGCCGGGATCACCTCCCTTGCTGACCTCCTCTGACCACCTATCTGACCAGGGGTCTGCTGGTTCCCCTCATCCCGACCATGGCTGTGTTCACGGCATGGTGTTTTCATGAATTTCCATTATGGGAATGAATGAATGAATGAAAGAATGAACGAACAAATATATAACTTCTGAAGAGCAAGTCGAGTCCACTGAGGTGGAAGGACCGGGACAGATGTTCTGTAGCCTGAATCTCTGGCTAAAAGTCTAATTGTTACTGGCAGCTACTAAATAGCATTTAAGGAGGCGAAAGTGACATGTTCTATACAAAGGTCCATTAGATCCAACATTCTGGGACAGAATTTGGGGGAGGTCTGTAAACTGGAAAGGAGGGGGAAAAAATGACAATTTCATTAGCACTAACGTTGAACTGAAATATAGCATTTCCTTCCATGAAGCCAAAAGTCAAATCCACAGCAGAACTAGCAATGCCTGTGGCTTTGTCACCAGCAGAAAGTGCACCTACTTTCCTAACATGTCATCTTGCTGTTTTGTGAATTAATCAAGTTTCTACATAACACGTTTAGGAATATTTTGGTAGCCATAGTTTAATATCATTGGGTTCCTTTATAATCGATCCTGTGATTGTGACAACCACATTTGAAGACACAATTCCCAAAGGGGGGCCCACAGATTCACCAGACTGGTACAAAAACGAAGACGGTCGGCAGAAGACGGACAGGCAGAGCCCGGGTGCTGGGGAGTGGAGGGACCCCACTGTGGTTATCACAGCACCCCCGGGGAAGGAGCTCAAGGGCAGGGTCCCGGCCGGCCCTCACACTGCGGCCAAGGGTCTGGATTTGAGCTTTCTGCGGAGACCTCCAGAAATATGTCCGCGTGCTGGTGGGGGTGGGCAGGTCTCTGATTGCTACTTTTGTTTCCTCTCTGAAGCTCATTTGTGAGCTGAAAACAGCCCACAGCTTGTTTACCCCGGCCCCTGGCACCCAGCATGGTGCCTGGCACTGAGCGGGCACCCGCGAATGTTCTTGACTCTTGATTATTTTCCCAAACGGGAACATATCTTTCTTGTGAATGTTTATTGGATTGTCACAGCTGACGAAGGGGAGACAGGGCCAGCTGAGGCCGCTTGCGTGTGTGGGTGACACAGAGGAGAACAATGCCTCCCTCCTGCCCAGCACGGTTTTCCAAGGGTCCTTTTTTGTCTTTATCCTGCTAATTACCAGGATAACAATCGTAATGAGGACCCATCCCATTTCCTGGGCGCTGAGCCTGAGGTGGGCATGTAGCCAGCTCATTGGCTGGGAATAACCTGTGCCCACGTTAGGCCGTGCCGCCCTGGTCTTACCCTGGTACGCCATGCACGTCTCGATGACATCCAGGGTGGGTTCATCCTCACAGAGGTCATACGGCATGTTCCCATCCGAGTTGACAGCGAGTAAGTCGGCCCCACTGGAGACGGAAGGTGAGAGTGAGGGCCGGGGAGGTGTGGCTGGGGTTGGTCTGGCTCCCTCTGCCCTCCGGCCTCTCACCTGCAACCCCACTATGCACCCCAGCGCCCCCAGCCCCTCCCCCTCGCTGGGGCACCTCAGCTAGGACAGCGGCTTCAGGACTCAGCTTCCCCCAGGAAAGCTGTCCCAGCAGACATCCCCCGGCTTCCGGCTCTGTTGGGCCAGCAGGCAGGCACTTGGGGACAAATGTCAAAGTCCTCCCTGGTGACCATAACACAAATAACACGAATGGCCCTATACACACATCATCTTCTTTAATCTTCATACTAGTCCTTTCGGGTTGTTCCTGTTGGCCATCTCACTCAAGAGGATACAAAGACTCAGACAAGTTCAGTTGCTTGTCCGAGGTCACACAGCGAGGATGTGGGAGGGTCAAGGCTCAAACCCCCACTCTATTTCAATCTGTGTCCCCCTGCAGAAACATCCTCAGCTCTCCCCCACTGTCTCCAAGTCCCAACCCAGAGGCTGACAGGACAGGGGCAGGACAGAGCCTTGGGGCTCCCCAGCAGAACCTATTTTGGGGGCCAGCGGTTCCCACGTGTGGTCCTGGGCTGCCCTGCAGAATTCCCTGGGCATCCCTGAAATACAGTGCAACTTCCTGGACTCTACCCAGACCCCGTGAAACAGTCTCTGGGGGTGGGGCTTGGGAGTGGGTATTCTGAAGCCACAGCCCACATGATTCTGGTACAGATCAGCACTGCACTAGGCTGGCACTACTCCCTTCCCTCTGGGCACCATCACTGATCAGGTGCTCCTGGCAGATTGAGTCACACCCAGGTTCTCATCAGAGGTGTGGGCATGGACTACCAGTAAGTCCTCAGGCCGAAGGGCCCTGCACTGAGACCTCTCTGTGCTCCCATGTGCCCTTGGGCAAGCTGATCCACCTCTCTGAGCCTCTACAATCACCTCCATCGCCCCCTACAGCCACCTGATGAGCTCCTGCGGCTTTGCCGAGACCTCTGCAAAAGGCCACCTGCTCTTGGCCACTCTTCCTGACTCCCTGCACTCAGATGCTCTCTGTGGCCTCCCAGGACCCACTCTGTCTCAGCACTAGCACTAAAATGCCCTGGTTTCCTGCCCGGTCTCTTAGGACTTTTGCATCCCTGAGTGCCCAGTGCCCACCCAGCTCAAGTGCCCACCAGTTATTAGATGAATTCAATCGAACACACCTGAAATGGAATGTTGTCTTTCCTATGTGCTTACAGAACCTGAGCAAACTAGAAGGAACTCAAGGGCTGGAAAGGCCCATCAGAACGGCACATGCAGAAATGGCCTTATTCCTAGGGAAAACATTGCTACATGGTGCCCCTCAAAGCAGGTTCTGCCCCCAAGGAAAAGCATGTAAATAGCATTTGGGAGACAGGGCCAAGGAAGTATGCTTGCTTTTTTTTTTTTTTTAATAGCAAAAGAAGCCAAAAATGGCAACAAGACATAAAGAATACTAGCAGAGGAGTTGAGTATAAACTCATGGATTCACAGAGACAGAGAAAAAGAGATTTAAAAAAAGAGAAGGCTACCCTGATATGAAGCCAGACCAAGCCCCTAAAGGGAATGAACTCTACAGACCCACATCCCTCATGAACACGGATGCAAAAGTCCTCCATGAAATACCAGCAAGCCCAACTCGGTGGCACATCAAAAGGATTATACACCAAGACCAATGGGGATCATTCCCACAATGCAAGGGTGGTCGATCTTATGTTATGTGTTAATATTTGGGGGGAAACAGCAAAAAGGGAGAGACAGAATGAAGAGAGACAAAGAGGATTGGGAAAGGCACACAGAGACGGAGGGAGGAAAGGAAGGGGGGGCAGAGGAGGGGAGAGAGACACAGAGACAGAGGTGGAGGGAGGGTGTGGGGAGAGAGATACCAGCTCCCACGAGAGGTAGAGGAAGTGGCACCCAAGATGAAAAGGAGAGAGGAGGGAGACAAGGCAGAAACAAAACCAACAGAGAACCACCAAAGGCAGGGCGGAGGCCGCCCCCGAGGGAGAGAGGGCCACGTACTACTGAACGAGGATTTTCACCAGGTTGATGTGGCCGCAGGTGGCCGCCGCATGCAGGGGCGTCCACAGCTCGTTGTCCTTGGCATTCACGTTGGCACCATGGGAAAGGAGCAGCTTGACAATCTCCTCAAAGTTGTCGATGCAGCACTGTGGTGGGGGGGGAGGTGAGGGGGACATAGGCAAGGTCAGCTTCCGCAGGGCCCCGGCCCCGGTGGGGACACACCAGCTTCCCCTTAGGAGGCCACGAGAAGGACAGTGGAGCCAAACTGTCTGAGTCTGAATCCAGCTGTATGACTTACATGCCGTGTGACCTTGGGCAAGCCACAAAGCCCTTCTGAGCCTCAGTTTCCCCATGAGTAAGTTCTTAATATTCAAGATACAAATATAAGTGAAACGTAAAAAGCATAAGGCGGCGGCAATAAGATGTTTTGCAAGTGTTGGTGAAATGAAAGGAAATGAGGAAAGGAATGAGGCTTTAAAATCTTTTTTAATTCCTGAAGGCTTTCTTCAAACAAAATTGTATGGATGACTCTTAGAGAACGAATATGTTCAAGGAGGGCTGCTCGGGTTGGAGCAGGAGTGGGTGTCGGTGGGATGAGGGGGCTGTTGGGGGGAGTCCCTCTTCCTGGCAGTCGCCTCCAAGGTGTGGCCCTAGGTCACAGTCGGCTACCTCTGACTTGGGGACTCCTGACCCAGGAGCTCTGTTCTTAGGGAAGCCCCAAGTAACCAAGACTCCCCCCAGAGAACCACCTCCACATCAGGGCTCTGGGGACCCCGATATAGCCCCTGAAAGGACACAGCCATGTCTGTGCTCCCGCCTGTCCACACGTAGGTCAGTCCTGGTGAGAGGGAAGACTCTCTGCAGCCCCCCAGAGAGACAGAGCTCTGACGGCCATTAGAGCCCTCACACTCCAGGGACAGAGAGAGAATGACTCCAAGGGGACAGAGGGCTCTAAGCCCACAAGCAGAGAGAGGCGAGGACAGAGGAAGAAGACAGGGAGTCACTTTATAGACCAGGATGGAGAAGCCAGCAGGGGACGAAGCAGGGATCTGGGCTCAGTACTCCCCATCCACGTAGGGGCTTGGCCCTCATGCAATGGGAGATGTTGCAGAGTCATATTCAGAGGAGCAACATAATCAGACTTTTTTTTTTTTTTTAAATCTTCCCTCTGGGTGCATGTGGAGAACAGACTGCGTGTGAGCACTTTTGGGGGAGGAGAGGGGACAGTGAGAATCTATGTTGAAATCATCCAGTTAAGAGATGATGGTGGCTGGGCCTACAGGAGTATCTCTGGGCATAGGGAGAAGTGACTGGATGTCAGCAAAAGGGTCAGGGGCACCTATGGGAACCCACAACCCTGGCTGTGGGGATGGGGCAGGGGGCCGTGGTGCCTGACCCCATCTCTAGCAGAGCCAGGGCTCAGCACCAGAAGGACATGTGGGAAAGGAGCAGTTGTTTACACAGATGATGCCAGAGATCCAGATTCCCTCTCTGCTCCACCCAGTCTGGGGTTGGCTGGGTCTGAGGGCATCTCTCCAGAAAGGCGGGGTACAGGTGACTCAAGAAGTGTGGAGCTGCCTCAGGTGGTTGAGAGAACCATGCAGTGGCACGGCATGGCCAGCAGAGGACGCCAAAAACACTGGCGTGGGGCTGTGGGGACCCGCAAGGGGCCCCAGGCTGTCTGTGGCAGGGAGGTGGGTCTGAGGAGCCCCTGTCCACAGGAGGAGCGGCCCATAGAGAACCCACCTTTAGGCTGCAGAAAACATGAGGATGGGGTGGCGGGGGAGCTCAGGTTGAAAGGAGAGGAGACAGTGTACCCAGAATTGCAGTCTTGTGAGAGGGATGCCCAGCCTTAAAGGCCCGGCCAGAGCAAGGGCTGGGTTTGGGGTACGCGCTGGGGTGGTTGGTGGTGGAGCGGGCAGGCCTCCTCCCCTACACTCCCCAAGGTGGGAAATGGCACCTGCAGTTGGATGACGCCTCCCGCCCCCTCCCTTCCCACATCGAATCTAGCACCGGGTGGGGATGCCGGTTCCTAAATCCCTACCCCCAGCCCCACTGCGCTGGTGAGGCTTCCCGGTCTCTCCCTGTCTCTCCCCTTCCCACAGCCTCCACCCAGAGAGCACCCTCATCAAACCATCAGTCTCAGTTTACAAACCCCAAAGGCTCCCTGTTGCCGAGAGGAGAAGAGCCACACTCCTTTGCCAGGCGTGTGAAGCTGCTTCTTAATGTGCTCCTTGGTCAGAAGGAGCGACAGTAATGACAGCCCCTGGTGGTGGAAACAGCCTGTCGCTTCACCAGTAACCACTGTGTGTGCAGTGGAGGGCCACTGGGACCACCTCGCTAACCTTTGGCCATGAACTGCGTCGTTCGCTCCTCAGAACAACATTCCGAGTGCTCCAGGGCCCCCATTCGGCTAGCGGCTACCGCCCTGCATGGGGCAGATGCACAGGACTGCCCACCATCCCAGAACATTCTACAGGACGGTGCTGTCCCTGAGCCTCGGTTTCCTGAGCTGTAAAATGGGGTTGATAATATTTCAAAGGGCTGTTGTGAAGATCAACCTACACTTCACAAAAGCGAAGTGACTCTGCACAGACGTGAACAATGTGACGGATTTTAATAATGATAGTGCCATCTCCTATTTATGCAGTGTCGGGAGATGCTTGAAGGGCTGTTATGTGTATTCATTTAATCCTCACAACAACCCGGTGTTGTTGTGTGTGCTTGTTATTCTGATTTCACAGATGAGGAAAATGAGGCACAGAGAGCTTCAGTAAGTTGCCCCAGATCACACAGCTAGAATCAGTGGATGCGGGACGCCCTGTGGACAGGAAAAGCAGCCAAAAGGACACATGGGAAGCCACTGGGCTGATGGCCAGGGGTGGGGCTTGTTCCTGGGGCTCCCAGGTTGGGGCAGCGGCCAGCTGTCGTCCATCCCTTCCTGCCCTCCTGGGGACAGGAAGAGGCTCTCACCAGCTTGGGGGTCTGGCAGCCTGGCCTCCCGCCCGCCAGGTTGCCTACAAGTCCTCCTGCTCAGAAACTTGGGCCAAGGCACAGGGAAGCTTCCGTGTGTTCATTAAGTCAGCATGCACATATTGAGCACCCGCTGTATGCCAGCATGGGGAAAGACGCTAGGACATATCAATGAGCAAGAGACATGGGCTCTGCCCTCATGAAGTTGAGTCTGGGCAGAGGGAGGCCAACATCAAATGCTCAGGCTAATGGCTCAAATGGCCACCAAGGGCGTGCTCAGAAGGCAAGGATCCTATAGCACAGCACAGCTCTTGGGCCCTTGCCACCCACTGGGGCTAACCAGGGCACATGCCCACACGCCGCGAGAAATGCGGTGGGGGAGGAGCCAGCACGTGGAAGGACCAGAAAAGCCACGTGGCTGGAGCCTGGAGAGCCGGGAAGCATGGAGGGCTGGCCAGGGGCCAGGCCTCCAGGAGCCTTGTGGGAAGACACAGAGTGCTTTGAGTAACATGAAACTTTGACCTGAGCATCCCTGCGGCCACTGCGTGAAGGATGAAACAGGGCAGGGCAACTGAATGCTGGGGACCAGCTAGGGAGGCTAGGCCATCGCACTGCCCTAGAAAGGGTGTGTGCTGTGACTGATCCCAGTTCAAGGCCACAGATCAGGGCATGTGAGCCCGGGCAGGTCACATGGCCTCCCTGTCAATCCCTTCTCACTGGGGTGGAGGGATGCCTTGGTGGGTGTGAATAAACATGCTTCATAAACTTCAAGCTCAAAACAAACTTGCTTTGTTTGTCAAGCCTCTTGCTGGGCAGTGAGGATATAGTGGACAAAGGTTCCCTGTCCCTGGAGGCCGTGTGCGCACGCGCGCATGTGCGCACAGAGGCTCCGTGGGCGTGTTTGTAACAGACACATGTCTCTCCCCCAAGTAGAGAAGAGCCTTTCAGATGAGGCCACTGAGGCTTCCCTTCCCTCCTTCCCTCCTCCCTGAGGGTTCTGGGCAGGAAAAAGCAGGGAGGTGGGGTAACTCTTCACATGGCGGGCAGGGATCCAGGGACCCCAGCGAGCCTGGCCTTACCTGGTGCAGGGCTGTGAGTCCATCCTCGTTGCACAAATCAGGGCTGACCTTATTCTTCAGGAAGTAGCGTACTGCAACAGAGGGGACAGGAGTGAGCATCCCATCATGCACCGGGTGTGTGGCAATGCGAGGGGCCCGGGGAAGACCCCCATTCCCCCAGGTCCTGATGCTAACCATCTGTTGATTCTTTACAACAGGCATGGGAGGATGAGGAAGCTGCCGTGCGGAAACTAGGAGTGAGTTGGGAAGGGCGGGGAGAAGGCCACCCGTTCCACAGGACAAATCCCAGGTCAGCACCCCCAGCAGGTGCCAGGGAAAAGACGAAGTCTCAGGTGCAGTAGGGGATGGACGCGGGCCCTCAGCTCCATCCTCCTCAGCCCCAGTTCCTGGTGCCACAGCCCTGTGGCATCCTTGGCCTGAGTGTGAACTGAGGTCCGAGCGAAGGGGAGTTTGAGGCCTCCGCCAGGCTTCTGGCAAGAGGTAAGGTCTCCAGCAGGCTGTGGGTTGGGAATGGCAGGAGTCCGCAGAGGGTGTGATCAGAGTCTCTGGAGCCGCCCTGCCCCTGTGGAACCACTTGCACATCTGGCTATTATTATAGCTTTTGAAACTTATATTCATAAAAATTCAAAAGTCACGTCCTCAGTTGCTCTGGCCACACTTCAACTGCTCAGTAGCCACGTGTGGCTACCATATTAGAAAGTGCAGAAAGTTCTATGGGACAGCGCTGGTTTGGGCTATCATAAATGGAAATTAGCCCCACAGCCCGCTGTTAAAGGCCGTCCATGGTTCCCCACTGCTCTGGGAACAAGGTCCAAAAACCTTACGAAGACATACAAGGTCCATGTGATGCGATCCCTCCTGAAGGCCTCCATCTTGCACAATCCAGGGGGCACCGTTCACACTGCCGTCTACAAGACACCGGCACCTCCTAGGGCAGTGCAGTGCGCTACTTGCTCAGTGGTACACAGCGCTCCTGCCTCCCTGCCTACCTCTCCAGTCTCATTTTTAAAACTCCACACATCTTCCACAATGGTCTTTCATCAGGTACAGAGTCACCTTACAACCTCTGGCCTCTGAGCTTTTGCATAGCCTGTTCCCACTGCCTGGAAGCGTCAATCATCTATCCATGTGTCCATTCAACCATCCACCCATCTACCAGCCAGCCAGCCCCGTTCAGGAATCCACCCCTAACATACACGCATGCCATGTACACGCACGCATGCGCACACACCCTCATCTGCCTCACTCCTCAACCTTTAGGTCTCAGCTGAAACTCCCTAGATGAGGGCACCCACAGTTCCTATACATCTCATTTATAGCCTTTCACAATGATAATTACATAACTATTTGGGTAATTAGGGGCTTTGGGTCTGTCTGTGGTAGGACACTAAGCCCCAAGGGGGGAAGGACAGTGACCTGGCACTGTCCTTTCCCTAAGGCCTGGCACACGGTAAGTCCTCAGCCACTCTTCCTGGACCCTGACCTCATCAGCAGCCTCTCCAGCTCTAAGCAAATCAGACCACCCTGCCTGTCCTGTGACAGCACCTGTCATATTCGGCGCTGCTTGCAGGCCCCTCCCAGATGCCCTGGTAGCTGGTCGCTGCCTCAGGGCTGGGTAAGATTTATGGCAAGGCCACTGATCACCGAGGCCCAGCCTGCCCATCCACAGGCCAGGGGGAATGCCCTGGGCTGGGCAGGTGGCCTTTGGGAGACTAGAAGTGGCCATTGTGTTCCTGTGTAGGAGGGGTTTGGGCAAGGTTCTGCTCACATGAGGCAAGGGTTCAAATCCCATGGTGGGGGAGTGGGGTGGGGGGGGAGGGTGGACCAGGCTTCCTGTCCCAGAAGACACTCCTTGAGGGAGAAATTACACACCAGCTGCCAAAAGCGTTTGTGTGCAGTAATTATCGGGGTGTTCTCCGTGCTGCCTGGGAGCCCCAGATGTGGAATTACTCCCATGGCGGGCAGTTATCTTCAGCCTAAAGGCGCGACAAATCACCCCCATCTCTACAGAGTACCTGTCATATGTAGGAGCCAAGGCCCCCTTGTGAGTGCGCTCTGCTCCAGCAGGGAGCCTGGCCCCAGACACCTCACCGGAGCAGAGACCCCACTGCCCGCACCCAGGGCACGACCAGGCCTTCCTGCCTCCAGTTCCGCAAGGAAAATGATTCCTCCATCCATCATGTCTTCTGTTAGAAGTCCTCTGCACCCAGGTCCACGCAGACTGCCTTCTCTCCTGGGTCTCCATCTGTAATTACTCCCCCCGTGGAGGAGACAGAGGGTCCGGGTCACACACAACCAATTAGAGCAGGTCGGACGCTCAGACTCCGAAGGCCAGACTGTGGGCCCCAGGGCTGCTCGGCGCTGCCCCTGAGGCCGGAGCAGGAAGCAGGGCTGCAAGGGGCCCTGATGGCCGGCGTGGGGAGGAGGGGGATAGCAATGGCCTCTGCTTCTGCAAGCTTCGGAGCCCCCGGGGCCCCGGCCGGGCCTCCTCCTGCAGACAGATGGGCTCAGGGATCTACACGCTGGACAGAAGAAACACCGCAGGTCCTGGGGCGGCACCGAAGGGTCTTTCGGGGCCATGTTAAATGTGAGCTTGCCTCCTCCCGCTTCCTGTTTAAAACACTGTCGTGGCTCCACCTTGCTCCTAGAATGAAGTTCACAGTCCTTTCGTGGGGCTGGCCCACTACGGTACATGGGCCGAATCTGGCAGGTAACCTGTGCCTGTAGATCACGTTGTTCACTGCAACACACCCACATTCATTTGTTTACATGTAGCCTGAAACTGCTTTCACCCAACAGCAGAGACTTTATGACCCACACAACCTAAAATATTTACTATCTGGCCCTTTACAGGAGAGGTTTGCAGACCCTGGTCTTCAAGGCCCTGTGTGGTGGGGTCCGACCTACAGGGTGGCCGCCTTGCCCCATTCCAAGGATGCGTTGCTCTCATCATAGTCTGTGTGAATGGCTTGCCTTGGAGTTGTGCAGTGTGCAGCTTGTTCAGCTGTACCTGGCAGTCGCATCTCCGTACCTCTCCAGGCTCATCTCTTGCTCTCCAAGCACCTTGCACAATGGAGGAAGCTGGCTTGGGGGTGTCTCGGGAGTCAGCTAGGGCTCAGGGAGCACAAACACAAGTAGGGCATGCTCTCCCTCTAGCCAGCCGTGTCCACACATGGTTACCCACACTTAGGTCAGCTCCCCACTCCCCAAGCCCCAGCTCCCAGGCTCGGCCACCAGTTTGTCAGCATGAGCCATCTGTTCTTGCACATTTGTTCAGCTAGAGCTGTAAGCGAGTTACTCCTCCTCTCTGAGCCTCAGTGTCCTCATCTGTAAAATGGGGATCACGGCCATGGCTCCTTTGTGGGGTTGCCCTGAGGATTAAGTAAGAAAATACCTGAAAGCTACTACCATCATTTATTTTTTTTAAATACAAATGAAAAACAGCCACTAAGCTCCTGCCTGGTCTGGCCAGGTGCTGGGCACCGGGGATGTAACCATCGACACCTTGCGTTTCCAAGAGCGCTTGCCTTGGCTGCAAAGGACAGAGCCATCTCTCTCTAGAGAGCCCCGAGCACCTGCTGGTTCAAGAACCACAACGCGGTGGTGCCCACTGCCCCCCCCATGCAAGCAAGGTCCCACTAAGATGGCAGGAGGTGGCTCCCACCCTCCTCTCCTACATTCCCACGGCTGGCACCAACCCTGTCCCTCCGCCCACACCTCCCTGGCAATCTGGTTGGAATCTGGGCCAAGCAGGGCCATCTGCTCCCCACCATCTCCAGCTGTAGCGAGTGAGGCTGAACCGACCCATCTCGGCAGGAAGCGGGTGGAGGCTGCCTCTGCAGGGAGAAATCACTGCTGATAAGCTTGTGGGGTGTGGTTTTTTTGTGTTTTTTTTTTGTCACCTGACCCCCTGTACCCCGCAGAGCAGACAGCCTGACCTCGAGCCGGTCAGTGACACGCCACCACAAGTGTGGTTCCTGCTCCGGGCCCGCGACGGCCAGAGGTGTCTGCCCAGTGGAGGTGGACCTCGGGCAGTCCACGCCGGCCGGGGGCGCTCCAGGGCCGAGCTGCTGCCATCTGGCCATGTGACTTGCACAATCACGTTGGTGGGGTACCCTCCTCCCTCCCCATCTCACCTCCTTTTCCACTCAGCACCCAGCAACGAGGCCCACCTTTCCACTGCCTCCAAGGTGCTGCATGATCTAACCTCTGCCCCTCTCTGAATCCCTCGGTGACTGGGTCAGTCACGCTGTCTTCTTTCATTTCCCAAGTCAAGATGAAACAAAACAAAAACTGGGCTCCTCCAGGCTTTACACACACAGTTCCCTGTGCCTGGAGCCCTTGTTCTTCTCATTCTCGGGCCAGCAAACTTTTCCTCTTCAAACTTCAGATTCCAGCTGAAATGTCGCCTCCTCTGAGAGGCCTACCCTGATCACCCCGATCTCTGTCGAGTTGCCTGGGTTGCTCTCTCCCATAAGTACCTTGCATTTCTGCATTTCAGCTTCACAGTAGCACCTCTCCCAATTTGTAATTACAGAGTGATTAGTTAGTAGATAGTAATTATATCATTCTTTGTTTAGTTTTTTGGGCTCCACGAGGGAGCCTGGCTCCTAGCAGGGGCTCCAGGATTATCTATTGTAGCAAGAGCACCTGAAATCTACTCTCTCAGCAAATTTCTAGTTCTCAGTAGAGTAGTAGTATTAACTATAGTCACCGTGCTGTGTACATTAGAGCCTATATAACTACAACTTTGACCTCTTTGACCAACATCTCAGGAAAAAAGGTAACTATATAAGAAGACGGGTATGTTAATTAGCTTAACTGTATTCATCATTTCTACACATACATATAAACATCCTATTATACACCTTAAATATACACAATTTTTATTAAAAAATAAAAATGAAAAAAAGCAATATCTATTGTGTGAATGAACAAAGGAAGGAAGTAAGGGAGGAGGGCAAGAATGCTCTGGGGACCCGCAGGGCTGCCTGCTCCTGGGGCCACTGGACTCTGGGGACATATGCAGAGCCCGGCAGACACACCACAAGCACGTGACTCATGAACTGAG